ACACACACACACACACACACACACACACACACACACACACGCTATCCCTCCCGCTCCTATCCCACCAGGCCGGCCTCGCCACGCCAGGGGGCTGAACGGGCGCGCCCCAGCGTCCCTCGGGCCCCCACCTGGGGATGGTGATGCACTTGGTGTTGACGTTCTGCGTGGTGATGGCCTTCTCCAGCTCGTCCAGCTGCCCCGTCTTCTTGAGCTTCTTGACCAAACTCTTGACCGCCTTCTCGCACCACTTCTCCTCCTGCCCGTTCTGCTCGCCCTTCTTCCAGCCCAGCAGGCGCTTCACGATCGGGGGGGTGAAGGGCAGGATGGACGACATGGCTGGGGAGGGCGCGCGGGCGGCGAGGAGCGCCCCCGGCGGGGCTGGGTGCGGCGGGACGCCGGGGGCGCAGCGGGGTGCTCGGCGGGGGAAGGCAGCGGCCGCCCAAACTTCGCCTCAACTCTCGGCGAACTTCCCGGTGGCTCCCGGCCGGGCCGCGGCGCTGCAGCCGGCGGGGCTCGGCGCGCGGCCCTGCGCCCCGGGCGGCTCCCAAGGCGCGGAGAAGGGCGGAGGAGCGGCGGGCGGGCAGGCAGCAGAGGCGCGGGATCGGGAAGGCCCCGGACGCGGGGCGGAGACGGCGGCCGCGGGGCTCGGAGTGGCAGAAGAAAGTTTGGGTTTCCGCACGGGGTGGCTGTTTGGGTGCCGCCTCCAGGAAGGAGAGTCCAACTCCCAGCTAAACTTTGCTCGCCTCGCTCGCTTTGATGCGCAGATCCCTCCGCCTCGGTAGCCTCGCCTCCCGCTGCCCTCCTCCTTCCCGGCTCGCTCGCTCGCTCGCTCGCTCGCTGGGCCGGCCTCGGGTTTGCGCCGCGCTCCCGCTCCCGCCCGCTGCCAGTCTGTGTTTCATGCAAATCCGCGTGCAGCCTCCTTTCCAAGCGCTGTCACCGCCCCCTTGCCGCCGGGGCTCCCCGCCTTCTCCCCCGCGCCCTGCCGCCTCCTCCCGCGGGCGCCCTGCCCGCCCCCGCCTCCGGGAGGGCGCCCGGCCTTCCCCCGCCCGGAACGGAGCACGCCCACGTGGGCGTCCGGGGACAGCGGCGGCCGGGGCTGGAGCGCGCAGGACCCCGCGCGGCCCCGACCTGAAGTCCAGCGGGCGCCAGGAGGAAGTCGTGGGAAAGGAGCGGCGAGAGGGGCCCCAGGCTGGAGGGCCGGGCTCGGGCCGTGGCGTCTGCTCTCGGAACCCACACTCAGGAAGCTCAGTTGGAGTGGCGGGCCCGAGAGCGTTAGACTCGCACGAACGAGCGCCGTCCGGCCGCAGGCTGGCGGTGCACCCCCCGGGAGGACCCCGGTCCGAGAGAGGGCGCGCGGAAGGCTTAGGCCCAGGAAGTTGGGGCGCGCACCGAGACGCGGGCGCGCCGATCCCGGTCAGGGGCCTTGGCGGCGCCGGTGACTCTAGGGCTGTTTTTATTCTCGCACCGGTGAGATCATACCGGCTTAGAACCCCGAGACCGTGCGAAAGAGGGATTAGTGAGAGGCTCTCAGAAGTGGAGATCTGGGGACCCCAGTGACTCCCTGGATAATAGCTGGAGCCAGGGGGTCCCCTGGGCCTTGGGAACCAAGTGCCCGGCAGAAAATGGGCCTCGAAGACATCTGTTGAGTTCAGGAAGAAATGAATGGGGGCGCTTTAGAACTTATCTTTGGAGGAAAGGTTTCATTACAGGGTGTTGGAATCTTATGATAAAGAAAGATCCGAAATTCGACACCCAATAAATAGGAGAGAGAGCTTTGTTTTCAAAGCTGTAAACTCGCAAAAAGTGGGGCAAAAGGGCAGTATTGGGGAACCTTATGTATTCCAAATTAGTTTTGGTGGGAAGCAAAGGAACACCGGGATATTAGGGGAGCTCTGGCGTTTTTCTCCCTACCAGAATATTTCAGGGGCATCTGCCCACAAACCCCTCACTCAGCTGCTTTCAGGAGTTACCCCAGGCCCCCAGGGCCTTTCTCCTGCTGCCCCTCCCCCTACCAGGCCTCTAGGCTTTGTTTGTTTTTAACAGCAGGAAACTCCCGTGGTGAGAAAGAAGTTATCTGCAAACCCTCTAGCGGGTGGGGAGTTACAAAGCCCTGTGAGGTGTGGCCCTAATCCACAAAGTCAGCCCAGAAGCTGCAGGGGTCCCTGCCTGGTAGGAGAGAATGGCCTCTCACAAGCCCGTCAGCTGCTGGGGCTGAGCGCTGGGCTTCTCGCCCTCCCCTCCTTCTAACTCCCCGCCTGCTTGGACCTTAAAGGAGAATCCCTGAACCCCAACTGGGGCTTAATGACCTGGTTCCCGTTCCTGGCTGGTCCTCGGGCTAACCAGCAGCCACTGTAATCTGGTTTCACTCCCTTCCTGCCAGCCCTCGTCAAAAAAGAGAAGGGAGGAAGGCGATCAACATTTATTGATGGCTTTCTTCATTCCAGATCGCCTGAGTGCTGCCCTCTGGTTTCACCTTCACAATGGCTCTTGGGGTAGATGTCCCTATGTCTCCCATTTACAGATAAAGCACCTGAGGCACAGAGGTTATAATAAGTACTCGAGAGCCCTAGCAGCGGAGCTGGGATCTGATCCCCATGCTTTGGGAGGCCTCAGTCCACATTCTTGCCACTGCACCCAGCTAAGCTGCCTTATAGAGTCGTGGAAGGCAAAGGTGACACCACGGATGGAGCTCTTTGCAAAACAAAAGTTCTTTACACAGGTGCACTATTGTGATACTAGAAGAAATGTTTGCTCACCTGTAAAATGGAGCTAGAGATAGCTTTCCTCTCAGTCTCCTAGAGTGGTTGTGGGAATACAACGTGGAAAGCTTTGCAAACAGTCGAATGCTGTAAAGGAATAGAACCATACCTTGGGGCCACCATTAGTGCCATGGAGAGTCGTGCAGGAGCGGGGGAGCAGGTTTCGGTTAGATGTGCACATCTACGGAGTACCTCCATGTTGCCATCCTACTCATTTCTGGGATGCTGAAATGAAAGATGAAGGTCCCCAACCTCAGGAGCGCACGGCCTAGGGGTAGGAGGTGTGTGCCCGCATGAAAGGGGCCCTTGCCGTCATCCCAGTAAAACATTCATTTTAACCTGAACATCGAATGAGGCAGGTCCCACTGTTGAGAGGCAGTCAGATGGAGCTAAAGGACCTCAAGCTTCATCAATGACTGACCTGGCTTTCGATCCTGGCTCTCTTCATCCCTTCTCCCCACTGAGCGTCTATCCTCTCAGCTGTAAGAATGAAGCACACAACTACGAATGTAGAAAGAGCATTAAAATTGTTGCCCTTCAGTGCAAGGCCCTCATTTGACACAGGCAGAAGCCGTGTATGGTGAAGTGGAAAGTGTACTATGGAGGTAAGGAGCCCAAGAGAGATCTGAGGATTGCGTGTAGTGGAAGGACCTAGCGTGTCCCTAAGCCTCTGAATTGTGACGTGGAAAGGGCCCCCGGTTCAGCCCTCTCATTTTCCTGAGGGGAGGCAGTAACTTGTCAGCAGCTAGTGTGGCTGAAACATGCTTTCCTGCGCTTCCTTCATATGCCGTCATCCATGGGACAGGGACAGCTGTACGTGCAGAAAACAGCGCTGGACCCATGTTATGAAGCCAGCAAGTACCGTTTCTGGGCTGGTTCTTTCTTCTCTGGCCTCCGTTTCTCCACAAGAAGAGTTGGGGAAATCAGCCCAGTTTCACAAAGCAGTGAGGAGGGCTAAGGATTAGATTCCTCCGGGTGCCAGGAGGACCCCACACGCTCCCTTGACTTTGGGCAGTGAGCGGGTGGGTGGCTCCAGATGGATAGGAACTCTGTTCTGGTGCCTGGTCTCCTGGGGCCCAGCCAGGCTGGCTTCTGCAGAGGTTGTCCTTGGAAGGGAAACGTTAGCCCGGTTAATTTTTCATCATGGTAAGTGCAAAGTTCAAGAGAGGTGGGATAGGGCCAGAGGCAGAGTCTCTGTTTTCCTGGAAATAGTTAGTCCTATGGGGGAGGAGCCTCACAAGCGGATTTGCCAAAAGGTTTTCATGCATTTGGAGTGGCTCCCAGGTGGAACACTGGAAAGAAACAAACACCTGCCTTCAATTCTGATGATTTTTCCAGTAGCTAAAGGGTGTTTAATCAATAAGTGAGTGAAGCAATTATACTCCAATAAAGATCTATTAAAATAAATAAATAATAAGTGGTGAATCTAGAAAGAGCAAGAAAATTGTTCTGTCTTCATTTTACACAAACATAAAGTGACATCTGGTGAAGGGAGGGCATTCACAACCTGCAGATAAGTCAGGATCTAGTCAGGACTAGAACTTTCATCAACGTGCCCTCACCTGACAGAGAGCCTCTGTCTGCAGTCAGCCCCCATTTTTTTAGGTCTTTCTAGCACTTTACACACGTGAGCTCTCCTGTGGCACCAGACGGACTTGAGTTAAAATGTCTAGTCTCCCGTTTCCAGCTGTGTGACTTCAAGCAAGTCCCTTAGCTCTGTGCGTCAGTTTCCTCATCCATGTAATGGGAGTAATAACAACATCTACCTCTTAGGATTGCTGTAAGGACTCAAATAACCATGTAGAGAGCTTTCTAAAAGCACATAGAACATTTTCAATACACATGGCTGGTGCTCATCGTAGAGTACTATGCACAAGTTAGAAGCAATGTGTTCTGCGTACATGAGACAAATGGTTGGACCTTAAAAACAGTTCTAGGTGAAGACAGTAACACACAGAATGAAACAAATAACACAGTGCTACTTATGTAAAAAATTACATAGACACAAAACAGCTGTATACATTTTGAAAGAAGTCATACAAACAAGATAAATATTGAATCATCTCACACCCATTAGGATGGCTATTATCAAAAAAAGAGAAGATAGCAAGTGTTGGTGAAGATGTGGAGAAATTAGGACCCTTGGGCATTGCTGGTGGGAATGTAAAACGGTACAGTCCCGTGAAAATGGTATGGCGGTTCCTCCAAAAATTAAACATGGAATTAACACTTGATCTAATAATTCCATTTCTGGGCATATACCCTAAAGAAGTGAAAGCAGGGACTCAGGTATTTATACAGCCATGTTCACAGCAGCGTTATTCTTGATAGCCAAGAGGTGGAAGTAACTCTAGTGTCTACTGATGGATGAATGCATAAGCAAGATACAGGACATACGTACTGTAGAATATTATTCAGCCTTAACAAGGAAGGAGATCCTGTCATATGCTACAACATGGATGAAACTTGAAGACCTTGTGCCAAGTGAAATAAGCCAGTCACAAAAGGACAAATACTGTATGATTCCATTTACGTGAGGTGCCTAGAACTGTCAAATTCATTGAGACAAAAAGTAGAATGGTGCTTGCCAGGGACTGGGGGGAGGGGATTCTCTAGTTTACTCAAAAGACAGAGCCTTTGGTTTCTAGCACCTTCCAACCCAGTGATGGTGATATCTCATATCTGGAGAACCCAGTCAAAATCATTTAAAACGCCTGCTTCAGGGCCACCCCTAGGACCATGCAGGCTCAGACACTGCCCCCACCTGACAGCTTAGGGAACTGAGGGCTGGGGGAACAATACCCTTTGCAGGTCTGCTCTATGCCAGGCTCTGGGCCAGGACTTCAAGGATAGGGTCTTGTTTGAAGTTCTCAGTCCCCAAA